GTCTTGGAGTAGTTTATAGTCCCTCGTATCTCCCGTCGAAACAAAAGACCATCGCGCAGAAGGTTCGGAATAAGTAAAACACCTCACTTCCTCTCACGGCAAAACAAAAGAGTATCGCGCAGAGAGGATTCACGATTAAGTAAATATATCACTTCCCTTACAGGGAAACAAAAGAGCATCGCACACAGGGTTCAGGATAAGAAAAAGGATTTCGATGCTTCTCGTCCTGACAAGGATTCAGGATGCCGATAAGTAAATAGTTCACAGCTTTTTCACAAACATCACAAAGAATTCCTTCCTATTTTTCCACAACCTAGCTGAGATTTTCCAAGCTTTTTCTCACAACATCGCGCAAAGGATTGTGGATAATTATTTCACTGTCGCTCACACTGGGAAGAGGAGAACATCGCACAGCGGGTTGTGGGTAGTGAGGGATGGGCGGCAGTACAGGATCCAATATTACTAAATCGCGACCCTGTGGAGGTGGGCGGGGCTTGTGGTGAGTCACTCTGACGTCATCACGCCCACAGCCACTCACCTGCCAGCTTATACCCAAGGGCTACAGGGTTGTGATAATACGATTACTGGGCTACTGAATTAGGGCTACTAAGACTACAATACTAGAACTGCCAGGACTAAAGTATTAAGGGTTACAATACTAGACAAACAGGTTAACAATACTAGGATTACACTAAGACTAATAGAACAACAACAACAACAACAACAAACAAACAACCACCACCACAACAAAAACAACAATTAAAATCATCACAACAACAACATATGCACAACAAACCTCCTACAACACCTAAACAGTTAACAAACACTTTTACAACACATTGAAACACAAAACGATATTACCACTACAACCACACAACAACGACCCCCCTACGTCTCTACTCGAAAACCACCACTATTTGAAAATACCACGACCACAACCACCACAATCTGACAACACTACCAACACTACCTACCACCATCTACGAAACCACCAACCACTACCACCATCTGACAACCACCACCACTACGACTATCTAACAATACGACCATCACTACTTACCACCACCATCTGAGAACCACCACCACCACCATCTAACCACAACCACCACCATCTGAGAACCACCACCACCACCATCTAACCACAACCACCACCATCTGGGAAGAAAAAAAACCCACGCCACAATGAGGACTACCACAACACTTACAGTAATACAAACCACGACAAACCAGCTACCTCGCCCACCAGCCGACCGCATTATAACACCATAAACTACTATAATACTGCTATAACCTTCCTGATGCGGGGTATAACAGGCCGGCCAGAATGCATCAACGAATTACATACACTCTTCGGTACAGTCCATTATCACCGCATCCCCTTCCACGTTTAACCCCGTTTTCTTTTTCCGTTCTTCCTCTTACTATTTTCTTTATTGATTTTTTTTTTGCTTATTTTTTTTAATTAGTTTTTCTTTCTTTGTTCCTCTTATTTTTTTTTTTAATTATTTTGTATTTTTTTTTTTGCTTAGTTTTTGTTTGAATTATTTTTAATTAATTTTTACGTTTTTTTTTCCTTTTTGCTTTTCCATCTCGGTGTTTTTTTTATTTATTTTTTTTCGTTTTCTTGTTTTTTTTTCAACTCTTTCGTATAGTTGTTAATTCCGCCTCTGTTTTTGTTTGTACTTTTCTCCGATTCTTTTGTTTTTCTTTTCGTTGTTTCTATTTTTTTCTCTTCTTCATCTCGCGCGTGTTTTAATTACTCCTTTGTTTACTGTTTACCCCGAGTGTTGTTTTTTTTTTACCACCTTCTCCTCCTCTTCCACTTACTCCTCTACCTCCTTCTCTTCCACCTTTACCTCCACCACTATCACCTTACTCCTTCTCCTCTTCCACTACCACCACCACCACCTGCTCTACCTTCTCCACCTCTTCCTATTTACTTCACCAGTTATAATTTTTCTCGTCTTGTTGTTAATTCTCATGTTTAATTCATCTTTTTCATGAATATTCTTTTTCGCGTTTTTCTCTATTTTTGTTATTTCTTAAGTTCTCAATTTTATTTTCTGATTGTTCACCTTTTGTTTTTGTTTTTTTTAGTTTTTCCCAGTTTTATCTTATCTCTTGTTGTTGTTATTTTATTGATTTTGTTTTTGTTCTCTCCATTATTCTATTTGTACTTAATCTCTCTCTCTCTCTCTCTCTCTCTCTCTCTCTTTATCAACATGTTGCAAGGCGGCGGTTTACCTACTTTACCCAACTTGTTTCCTCACATCAATCTTGTTCTCATTAAAATCTCTCAAGTTTTGCTTTACGATATTACAAGACTGCAACACTGAGACCCTCATTATAACCCCATCCCAAGAGAAAGTTCACTGAGCCTAACCTAACCTAACCCCATCCCAAGAGAAAGTTCACTGAGCCTAGCCTAACCTAACCCCATCCCAAGAGAAAGTTCACTGAGCCTAACCTAACCTAACCCCATCCCAAGAGAAAGTTAACCTAACCTAACCCCATCCCAAAAGAAAGTTCACTAAACTTAACCTAACCTAACCCAACGAGGTACTGAACGAGTTAATTGTTCGTTTCACAGTTTTACCAGAATGTTTATGGATTATACGCAACCTGACACCAGAACGTTTAGGGATTGTATGACACCTGACACCAGAACGTTTAGGGATTGTATGACACCTGACACCAGAATGTTTAGGTGTGACTGTATGACACATTTTACAGGCGAATTATCGTGGTAACAAGTTCGTTCTATCTCTGAATATTCATGACATTTAGTGTACCAGGGGGCCATTGGCACTTCCCCCTCACTCTCCTCATGCCTGGCACTTTCCCCTCACTCTCACGCCTGGTACTTTCTCTTTATGCCTGGTAATTTCCTTCATTCTCATGCCTGGTAATTTCCCTCATTCTCATGCCTGGTACTTTCTCCTCACTCTCACGCCTGGTACTTTCTCTTTATGCCTGGTACTTTCCCCTCTCATGCCTGACACTTTCCCTTCACTCTCCTCATGTACGGTACTTTCCCCTCACTTACATTGGATCACTTTCCCTGAACTTTAATTAAACGTGGCTCACTTTCTTCATCATTTTCCTGTTAACTGTAAACGACATAAGATATTTTTGTCTTCATTTAGAAAAAAAACTTAAACTTATTTCACAAAACTTTCCTCATTTTCTCAACATTTTCCTGGAAACAAATATTATTATTATTTTTCACTTTCATCGCGTCATTTACACTTACAAGTAAATAGTGAACATAACTCATTTTCACTATATCTGTTATATTTTCACTGGACAATTTTTCCGCACTTTCTCTTAACGGCAAAAGTGTGTATGGATAAGAGAGAGAGAGAGAGAGAGAGAGAGAGAGAGAGAGAGAGATGTTCTCAGCGTCAGGGCCGGGCGTAGTGACCCCAGGTGCACAGGTCGACCCCGAGCCTCCACAATGAGGGTCAAAATTAGCTGGCTGGTCCACCACCTTCCCCAGACTAATTGGACCAGCTGCCGCAGCGTCTCTGGGGCAGTAGAGGAGTTGGGGGTGGTGGGGGAAGGAGGGGGTAGTGGGGGAAGGAGGGGGTGGTGGAGGAAAGGGGGGTGGAAGGGGGAAAAGGGGGGTAAGGGGGGTGGAAGGGGGGTGGTGCTTTATGACATTTCCTTCCCCAGTTTGAAATAATAATAATAATAATAATAATAATAATAATAATAATAATAATAATTGATCAAGTCATTTGTCCTGATGTTATAGCTGATCTAACAACTTGTCCTACCGTGACGTCACAGCTGGTTTAATCACCAGCCCTTGGGTTTTCTCTTGAACATTACAAAACAAAACCCCGGATGTTACAGAAGATCAAATAAAAATATGAAAAATCCTGATTTTCACTTATATGTGAAAGCAAAATTTTTTTCTCGATCGCTACAAAAAAAAAAATAATTCAATTTTTTCCTCAGTCACAACAGGAAATGAATCCCAGGGAAAATAATGGAGCGGTGTCTGTTGTAGCCGAGTAAGTCAGCTAAAGTGAAGTGTCAAACTATTTTAAGTGTAAATACGAAGAATCAAACTACTTTTAAATCAAGGGTGTAAACAGGGGGTCTGGGTGAGTGTAGGCAGGAGTCTTATACTAGGGTGAGAGTTAAGGAGCTTTATACACACTTATAAGCCTCTCAAAAAGCTTAATAAAATCGCAGCTTAATAATGTTCATGGCCCTTGAAACCCTATATTAACCCAATTCAAGACATTACTAGAAGGTAATCGTTGAGAAGGTCTCCCCCGCCCCCAACGTAACCTTAACAAGCGAAAAACTTTACAACGGAAGCTCAAAAGTAGTCGTACAGCTGCGGTGTACACACACACACACACACACACACACACACACACACACAATGAGGTGAAGAAGAAAGAGAGCCTTTGGACTAACTTTTCAACCGTAACACAAAGCCTAGTAACAAATGTAAACCTGCCTTGCCTACCCCCGAGGTAAATCATCAAGAGGCTCAGCAGCTCGTCCTTGGAGACCCCTTACATGGACCTCGTGTTAACTTAGCAGGTACCTGAGAGGAACCCCGAGACCCTGGTTTAAGAAGAACACAAATTTCTTACTTCAAGGCTTTAACTCTCAAAATAGGTCTTTAAAAAGGGATCACTCAATCTATTTTCTTTTTGCTATATGAATAAAAAAAAAGAGCGTATGATTTCCCTGACAATTGGCAACCTAGACCCCTAAGGGACCAGGGGCAGAACACAATAGAGTTCCTATATCGCTCAAGGGCTGTACAGGGGCTCTTGAAGGTACAAAAAATCTCCACTAAAAGACCCATAAAGCTCTCTCTTTGACCCACTGAGCCCCATTGTTCACTCATTAGTCGCCTCTACTAACCCTACTTAGTCAGGGAGAGTCGTTGATTCTTCTTAGTGACTCCGTGAATTAATTTGTCGAGTCAATGAAGTTATTTTTGAGTTGGATGAGTGTTTTCTGTGGCACTCATGGGACCTTCTGGTCAATCGGAGAGTTCTCATCGTTCAACAAGGTCCTTAAGTCAGTTGAACTCTCTTGTTGAACTCATGGACCCTACCAATGAAGCAGTGAGTTTTTTGTCGTTAATTAATTCTGTTGTTGATGAAACAATGAGTTTGGTTAGGTCAGCGAGTCCTTTTCGGTTAAATATTTGTCTAACCAGTGAGTATATTTCACCTAAATAAATCTTGTTGACAAAATGAGTTCCGTCGAGTAGGTGAACTGAGATGGCCTTCCACTATACCCCACACACCTAGCTACATCACCACCTGGGAATCCTTTTAAGGTTCTCTATGCAAATTCCGGAGGACTTCGTGACGCCTTTCATCTCCTCACCTGCCTTTTCTCCTCCGCTTCCTCCTCCTTCAATAACCCCTCCCTCCCACTGCTCGTCTCTTCATCCCTTCCAAGCTCCCCAGTAAGGTCTCTCTCTCTCTCCTCCCCATAATAACCCATCACCTGTCCCTTCTCCCCTCCTTGTAATCTCTCCCTCATCTCCCCCCTCGTAAGCTTCTCACCTTCCACCCCTCACCCCCCCCCTTAAAGGACCAGACCGGTTTCTCCCTCACCCCTTCACACGACTAGACTAATCTCCCCCTTCACCCTCACCCCCTCCCCCTCCTTCACAGGGCCAGACGAGCCTCCGCCCTGGCCCCGGGTTGGCGAGGGCACGTGGGCGGGGACACACTCATACCCTGCTGGGCCACACTGCTATACCCTAACCTGCTGCCCACCAGTCCTTCAGCTCTCTCCCACTCTCTCTTCTCTCTCCTCCTCTCCTCCCTCGCATTACCTCTCGCTGTCGGTGATGCTAAGCGCCTGTTCCATTGACCCCCCCCCTTACTCTCTCATGTCAGGTTAAGTTAAGATCACGTTAGGTTAGATTAGGTTAAACTAGGGTCAAGTTAGGTCAAGTCAGGTCAGGTCAGGTTATGTTAGATTATCCAAAATGACCAGATCCGACCTAACTTAACCTAACCTAACCTGACCTGACCTCACTGTTTATCTACGATGAAGGGCACTCACCTTAACCCAATGTCGGCAAAGTGGCTGAAGCAAGTAATTTACCAGTCACTGAGAAATAACTAACCGGGACTATTTATATATTTTCTGGGGTGGAGGAGGAGGAGGAGGAGGAGGAGCATCTCGTAACCCAGGTCGAGTCAAGTTCAGTGGTGTAACTATCCCCCTCTCTCTCTCTCTCTCTCTCTCTCTCTCTCTCTCTCTCTCTCTCTCTCTCTTTTTCTCTCTCCCTCATACATATATCCAGCTGACGTACAGAAGAAAGTGTGTGTGTGTGTGTGTGTGTGTGTGTGTGTGTGTGTGTGTGTGTGTGTGTGTGTGTGTGTGTGTGTGTGTCGTGCTTCACCATACTCCAGGCCACTATTAGGAAGTAGTCGACAAAACAAAGAAATTTCCGGGGCCAGTGACGCGGGCTCAATGAATGCTATTTGCATGTATATGATATGCAAATGATGTCACTGTGGCCCCATATTTAACTAGTGGCACTATTTCCTCATCCTTCCGCCTGATCCCCCTTCCCCTTTATCCTCCACCTGCTACCCCCCTCTGATCTTCCCCTGATCCTCCTTCCCCCCTGATCCCCTCCTTCCCCCTCTGATCCTTTCCTTCCCCGTGATCCTCCGCCCGCTACTCTCCCTGATCTTTTTTCCCCTTGATCCTCCGCCTGCTATTCCTCTCTGATCTTCCCCTGATCCCCTCCTCATCTCGTCCTTCCCCTTCTGATCTCTCCCTATCTTCCCTTGATTCTCTCCCCCTAGTCCCCTCCCTCATCTTCCCCTTGACTCTTCTCCCTGATCCACCCCTTGATCCTCTCATTATTCTCCCTGCTATCTCTCAATGTCCCCCCTTACTCTCCCTCCTCGTCTCCCTCTTCCTGTTTTCTTACATCCTTCTCCCTCTCCTTCCTCTTCCTTGTCTACTCCGGACCTTCTAATATCTTTTTTCTTATTCCTCCTCCTCCTCCCTTCTTCCTCCTCTTTCCCTTCTAAGGTTTTGTTCTTCCCCTTCCTCCTCCTCCCCATTCTTCTTCCATATACCTCGAAATATCTGTCAAATTCGTCTCTTTCTATCCACCAAATTTATTTCCTCCTCCTGCCCTATCTTCTTCTTCTCCCTCCTATCATCCTTCTCTTCCTCCTCCTATCTCTCAATATCTCATTCTCTCTCTCTCTCTCTCTCTCCCTATCTCCCCAAAATCTCCCACTTCCCACTTTGTAATCCTAGACCATCCCTCTCCCTCTCCTCTCTCCCTCTCTCCCTCTCCCTCTCCTCTCTCCCTCTCCCTCTCCCACTATTACTCCTTGTCTACCAGGGGAGATAACAGACCAGTCTGCCACACCACCACAACACACCCACCTGAAGAAACTCAAACACACGGGGAAAATAACACCAAGGCGGAGAGAAGGAGAAATACAATGCTGTGTGGTAATGCTATAAGAAAATGCTGCAACACAAATGAAATACAAAGGTTAAGAAAATCTACGAAGGTAACAAAACACTAAAACAACATTATAGCAACATTACAGCAACACTACGGCAACACTGAATTAGGAAAACAATTCAACAAAACACTGTAAAAATAACCACCAAAAGCAAATCAAAGAACAACAAAGAGTAAAATAAAAGCAATAAAGACAATCCTTGATAACGTATAACACAGCAACACAAACAAAGGAAAAAACAAACAAGAACACAATAAAAGATAAACTAAACAAACATGAAAAAAACATCAAAATAAACAATAGAGAAATTAAGCAAACAACAGAAAAACAAAAAACAGAGAAATTAAGCAAACAACATAAGATAGTCCAGCGCTATTAAGTAACTCAATTCCACCACATGTAAGGTCAAACAACAAACAACTGTAAATCCCTCCCTAACAGCGATGAAACAAAGAAACAAACACAATCTTCCATCAAAACAAATAATAGGTAATAAAACAAAGGAGACAAGGAAATACAAAGACAAGCAACAAATAAAAATACATTTTTTTCCGGAATACTGAAGTAACAGGAATATTCCAGCTTCAACTGAGTACTGGTGTATCAGGAATGGAACTCAGTACTGGTGTATCAGGAATGGAATTGAGTACTGGTGTATCAGGAATGGAACTGAGTACTGGTGTATTGGGATTCGAACCAGCATCGACGTAACAGAGACTCACCCTAGCACCAGTTGATCAGGATTCGAACCCAACAGCGGCGTTCATGCTGGAGGTTCGAACTACAGTACAAAGGAGGATTAGAGGGAGTAGATGAGGAAGAGGAGACGAATAAGAAGACGAGGATGAGAGGGAGGAGGAGAAGAAGAAGAGGGAGGAGGAGGAGGAGGAGGAAAAGAGGAGAAGGACATTTTGGTGACGAAGACGAGAGACGAGAGAACAAAGCTCATCCTCGGCTGGCGGACGACGACACACAGCACTCGTCCACAAAGCGACTCAAACGACGACAACAAAGGTGGACCGAGAAATGATTTAATGCACAACAAAACACAAACACAGCCCAGCAATCTAGTAATGGAACTTTAAATAAAACATAAAACAAAAGTGCTCGATTAGAAAGAAAAACAAAATAAACGAAAATAAAAAAGTTTGTGTTAAAAAGATAATAAAAAAGGTTATTTAAAAGAAAATCTAGAAAAGGTTAAATGACAAGAATATAAAAAGGGATGAGATATAAAATAGAATTAAAAAAGGGGTACATAGATGAGAAAAAAAAGGTTACATAAAAATTAAAAATAAATAAATAGAAGTAAAAAAATGAGAAATAAAATAAATATGACAAAAATAAATAAAAGAATGAGGAAAGGTGATTAATTTCCAGGAATAATAAGAAAAGTAATTTAGAATTTTATATATATAAGTAAATATATATAGAGACACACACACACACACACACACACACACACACACACACACACACACACACACACACACACACACACACACACACACACACACACAAACAAACAGAGAGTGAGAAAATATGAATAATTTCCCCCCCCAAAAAAATGAAATGAAAGAAAAATAAAAAATTGCCCCATGTTGTCCGAAGATCTCACATCGTCGGCCATGTCGGTGATGATGGTTCCTTATGGTGAAGTGTTTGTCTCTTATTATCATCTTCTGTGCCTCTTCCCTCTACGTTACCTCTCTCTTCTCTTCCCTCTCTCTATTTTAGTTACCATCCTCCCCACTTTCTCCCTATTTCCTATTCCCTCTCTCATTTCTTCCCCTCTTCACTTTGTTAGTTCTCTCTTCTTCGCCTCTTCCCACTTATGTTAGTTCCCCCTTCTTCCCTCTTCATTCTCCTAGTTCCCCCTTCTCCTCCTCTTCACTGTTACCTTCCTTCCTTCTTTCCTCTCTCTCTTCCCCTCTTCACTATACTAGTTTCCCCCATTTCTCCTCTTTGTTAGTTCCCTCTTCTTCCCCTTCCTTCCCCTCTTCCCGCTCTCCATATTCCCCTTCCTCCCCCTCCCCATTTGTAGCACTTAAAACACCCTGCACTACCTATCACTATTGCTACACATACACTCTCTCTCTCTCTCTCTCTCTCTCTCTCTCTCTCTCTCTCTCTCTCTCTCTCCTTTATCCCTCTCTTTTACTCTAAACGTTCTTTCATTCTCTCTATCTCTCTTAACTTTCCTTTCACTTTTCTATTTCCATTTTCTGTTTTCTCAATTTTCTCTCTCTCCCCTTCTCTCTCTCTCTCTTTTTCGCTTACTCTTTCTCAATCACTCTCTCTTTTTTCTCTCTTTCTCTCCAAATCACTCACTTTGTGTCTTTCCCTCTCTCACTCTCTTTCTCTTCCTCTCTCCTAATCTCCCACTGTTTCTCACCCTATCTCCCAACCTCTCACTCTCTCCCAATATCTCACTGTTTCTCACCCTCTCTCTTTCTCACTCACTCTCTCTCACACTCATCCCTTCACCACCTGCTCTCCCAGTATATTGCGTCGTTTTGTTTATAGTTGAGTGCCGTGACACACTGTCCCCTCCCTCACCTCTCTCTCTCTCTCTCTCTCTCTCTTTCACTAGTCTGTCTCTTTCTCTATCTCTCACCCATCCCTGACCTCTCTCTCTCTCTCTCTCTCTCTCTCTCTCTCTCTCTCTCTCTCTCTCTCTCTCTCTCTCTCTCTCTCTCTCCCTAAAGGGGGTATCCAATGACGAGTCCGGGTATTATCCCTCACGCCCTGCACCTCTGTTATCCTGCCGCCCTTATTCTATACCACACGCATACATACATACATACATACATACATACATACATACATACATACATACATACGCGTACACAGATACTTAAAGGTTCACTTATAAACATGTGTGAAGAAACATGTTTAATATACACGTATACACATATAAATGGTTTATGTATGAGGTGTATGAATGTTTAGTGGTACATGTACGTAATAATGGTTGTATATACATGCAGTATACACATATAAAAACACACAAACAAAAAACAAACACCTCCACACACACAACCCCCATAAAACAAATAATCCATTTATACACACATGCAAACAAACACTTTCCTCACACACAAACAATACCCCAAAACAAACAACTCTTTCCATATAGATTATCACGCAAACAACGCATTTATCATAACACAAACAAACATGGACCTTCATACATATACACAAACACCTCACCCCATACACAAACATTCCACCTCATACACGAACACCTCACCCCATACACAAATATTCCACCTCATACACGAACACCTCACCCCATACACAAACATTCCACCTCATACACGAACACCTCACCCCATACACAAACATTCCACCTCATACACGAACACCTCACCCCATACACAAACACCCCCACCTTATACACGAACACCACACCCCAATACACAAACACTCCACTTCATACACAAACACCCCCCACCTTATACACAAACACCACACCCCATGCCTGACACCACCCCAATGCACAAACACCACTTCATACTAAACACCCCACCCTATACAAACACCCACACTTTATTTTCTATACACACCTATGCACAAACACACCACACCCCAATACACAAGCACAAGCACTCCCTTGGGCAAACAACACACAGAGACAAAATTTTAGTCCCCGACACTATAAGCGCTGTTGTCGTATATTGTCCTTCAGGCAACTTCTCCCTCCACCCATACACCCATGCTGAGGGGGTGGTAAAATGGGGAAGGGAATTTAGTGAATAGTAAATGGGGAAAAGGTATTAATGGTAAAATGGGGAAGGGTGAAAAGCAATAGTAAAATGGGGGGTGGTAATAGTAAATGGGGTGAAGGGTAGTAATGGTAAATGGGGGAAGGGGTAGTAATGGTAAATGGAAGGAGCCAATGTAATGGTAAATAGAGAGAGGGTAGTAATGACAAATGGGTGGTAGGAGGTAAATGAGGACGATGTTAAATGGGGGTGTTAAGTGATAGTGATGAGCAACTAGTGGGTGGTGGTGGTAACTGGTGGTGGTGAGGTGGCTAGCTAGCGGGTGGTGGTGGTGGCTCAGTGGTGGTGAGTGGTAACTGGTGGTAGTTAATTGGGTGGTGGAATAATAGTTATGTAAATAAGGAGTGGTGAAGTGAGTGGAAACTCTCCTTCATTACAGACACTTTTGTCACTTGCAACCTCCTCCTCCTTCTCCTCTTCCCTTTCCTCTCTCCTGACCCTCTCCACCACTCCCTCCCCCCTCTCTCAACCTCCTTCCCTCTCCACCCATCCCCTCCCCCTCTCTCCACCCATTCCTCCCTCTCCCAGCATCCCCCTCTCTCAACAACCCCTTCCTCTCTCTCAACCTCCTTCCCCTCCTCCTCCTCCTTTACCCCTCTCCTTCTCCTCAGCCCCCCCCCCACCTTTCCCTTTAAACCTACTCCTGAAAAAAATGGGTAGAGCTCGGCCGGGGTGTGCGGACCAACATTAACTGTGACTGGTGGATAATGAACATAGCTCCCCAAGTTTATATAGGTCACCCCTGCCAACCTGATAAGAGAGAGAGAGCGCTAAGAGACAGTGATATACTCTAGTGATCCACCCACCCACCGGCAGTTTTAAAGGGACAGGTGGACGGTTTTAAAGGGAAAGGTGGACGGTTTTAAAGGGACAGGAGGACGGTTTTAAAGGGACGGGTGATCTTCTTGTGGAAGCCATTGAGATCTCCACTAAATTTCGTATGATCACACTAAGTCACAGGTCACCCTAGGTCACAGGTCACCCTAGGTCACAGGTCACACTAAGTCCAGGTCATACTTGGTCACAGGTCACACTTGGTCACAGGTCACACTAGATCCAGGCCACACTTGGTCACAGGTCACACTTGGTCCAGGTCACACTTGGTCCAGGTCACACTTGGTCCAGGTCACACTAGATCCAGGTCACACCAGGTCAAAATGGAGGGTGATCTGTACATGAACATAACAACTATGGTACTGGCTCACTCTACTACCGCTGCCGTCTAGTGAGCCACATTATGGGTCTAGCATTAACAGCTAAGTCAGCTGAGTGCGCTAAAGCTGGTAATAATCCGGGCGAGGCATGAGCTTGGAGGGGTGATAGTGATTCTGTCATGGAATTTGAAGGAGGTGAAGATGGTGAAAATGGCAGGAGGAGTGAGTGTGGAGGGGCGATACTGTCATGGAATTTGAAGGCGCTGAGGAAGGTGATAGCTTGTGAGAGGCGCGAGTCTTGGGTGATATTTTTTGTAAGGCGTTAAAACTGGCGGTAATTCGAGGTGTCTGGAGCGATATTGAGTTTTAAAGTCTCAAGCTGGTGATAATGAGAGACTTGAGTATAGTGTGGTGATATTGTCATAGACCGTGGAGGTGTCAGAGGAGGTGTGATGGGGGGGAGGGAGTGGAGGCGGTGTGTACACGCTGTGTCAGCTCGGAGTTGTACAGGAGAAAAGCCTGTTGATCACGCCTCCACCACTTGGCTGCGTTGACACCAACGTTGCCGCACCAACCACGCTCCCTCCCTCTCCTCACTCTTGCTCTCTCTCTCACCCTCCCTCTCTTACTCTCCCTTGGGATGGGGAGGGAGGAGTGGCGGCGCTCCCTCCTCCCTCACACGAATATCAACAGGCAATTCTTCTACCTGGGGGAGGCGTCGGCCACAACACAGAGGCAAACGTCCTTGTGTGATAAAACCGACAAGTGCGGTTTAAACTTCCCGTTTGATTACACGGCGGAGCAGCGTGAGAAAAGTACCCGATCAATACACGGGCGGCCAGTGCGCGGGCGTCGCCTGCTGGTAGTGGTGGTGGTGTGGTGGAGGGGGATTGTAATGGCGATGGTGTAGTGGTGATGGAGGGGTAGGGGTGGTTGTTGTTATGGTATGGGTAGTAGTGAGGGTGGTGAGAGTGGTGTGTTCTAAGGGTGGTAGTGATGGTGTCGTCATGGTCTGGTTATGGTATAGGTAGTGGTAGTAGTGAGACCAGTAGTAGTCGTAGTAATGATGGTGGTAGTAGTAGTAGTAGTAATGATGGTGGTAGTAGTAGTAGTAGTAATGATGGTGGTAGTGGTAGTAGTAGCGATGGTGGTAGTGGTAGTAGTAGTTATGGCATGAAACTAAAGATATCAATGATGGTTGTGGTAGTGGTTGTACACGAGCGAGAGCAATACCTAATACGCCAGAGGCTGAACTGTATGGTAGTAAAGCCGTAGTAGCATGGCACTATAGGCATACAGGTCAAGCGTTACCATTGCTACTCTGCTACCTAGAGAGGACGTACCAGCACGACAGTACCAAGTTAAGTTATGGTACCAGACCTCGGGACAATGTACACCACATTGGTATGTGATCAGGGAGGTTAACAACCATTGGGTTTGTTTACAATTTAGATGGGTGACCGAGTTTCCAAAGAAAACAATGCTGGTCTTAAGGGGTGACTCGCCAAGACGGTCTGGGTCACCGAGGCGTGCCGTGACCCACTCCCCGACAGTGTGTGTGTGTGAGGACGCTTCTAGCACTGGATTAAAGCGACTGAGCATTTATCTATCTTATTTATGATACCAGGGGTGTGGTAGGAGGTAGCAGCGTGGTAGTAGCTGTGGTGTGGGGGGGTACCGGTACCTCCAAAAGTGGTATTGTGGTGGTAGGCGTGGAGGGAGAGAGTATGATGACAGTAATTAGGTCTCGTATAGCAAAGTTGGGGTGGGTGGAGGGGTGTGGCTGAAGCACCTAATTGTAGTGTTGATGGGTGTGGTGGTGGTGTGATGAAGGTGTGGTGGTGGTGTGATGAAGGAGTGGTGGTGGTGTGATGAAGGTGTGGTGGTGGTGTGGTGAAGGTGTGGTGGTGGTGTGGTGGGGTGTGGTGGTGGTGTGATGAGGTGTGGTGGTGGTGTGATGAAGGTGGTGGTGGTGTGATGAAGGTGTGGTGGTGGTGTGGTGAAGGTGTGGTGGTGGTGTGATGAAGGTGTGGTGGTGGTGTGGTGAAGGTGTGGTGGTGGTGTGTGAAGGTGTGGTTGTGTGGTGGTGGTGGTGAAGGTGTGGTGGTGTGTGGTGAAGGTGTGGTTGTGTGGTGTGGTGGTGTGGTGAAGGTGTGGTGGTGCTGGTGTGGTGGTGGCGTCGGTGATGTGGCGGCAGTGTGATGGTGTGGTGGTTTGATAGTAAGGTGTGGCGTGCTGATGTGGCAGTGCAGTAGTGTAGTGTTGTTGTTGTGAATATGGTGTGGTGGTGGTGGTGGTGTGGCAGTGTGATGGTGTGTGGTGGTGTGGTGGTGTGGTGGTGTGTGTGTGGTGGTGTGTGGTGTGGTGGTGGTGGTGTGGTGGTGTGGTGGTGTGGTGTGTGTGGTGTGTGGTGGTGTGGTGTGGTGGTGTGGTGTGTGTGGTGTGTGTGGTGTGGTGGTGTGTGGTGGTGTGGTGGTGTGGTAGTGTGGTGTGGTGTGGCAGTGGTGGTGGTGTGGTGGTGTGGTGGTGGGTGTGGTGGTGTGGGTGTGGTGTGGTGTGTGGTGTGGTGGTGTGGTGGGTGTGGTGGTGTGGTGTGTGGTGGTGTGGTGTGTGGTGTGGTGGTGTGTGGTGGTGTGGTGGTGTGGTGTGGTGTGGTGTGGTGTGTGGTGGTGTGGTGTGGTGGTGTGGTGGTGTGGTGGTGTGGTGGTGTGGTGTGTGTGGTGGTGTGGTGGTTGTGGTGATGTGGTGGTGTGGTGATGTGGTGGTGTGGTGATGTGGTGGTGTGGTAGTGTGGTGGTGTGGTAGTGTGGTGGTGTGGTGGACGTTGGATACTGGGAGCAAATGTTAGCCTGGAAGCCATAATTTAGCTCCGGTGTTGGTTTGGTAAATATTGTGTGATGGATTATTTTTCCCTGTCCGGTATGGTGCCAGTATGGTGGTAATATGGTGCTACCGTGGTTCTATTATGGTGCCGGTATGGTGTTATTATGGTGCTGGTATGGTGTTATTATGGTGCTGGTATGGTGTTATTATGGTGCCGGTATGGTGTTATTATGGATCTGGTATTGTGATATCATGGTGCCGGTATGGTGCTAATAGCGCTGTCGTGTTGCTATTATGGTGCTAGTTACGGTGTCAGTAGTACAGTTGTAGTAACTGTAATGGTGTTAATGGTGATGGGTAATAATGATGATGGCGATGTGGATAGTGATGATGGTGAAGATAGTGATGATGGTGCAGTGATAATGATGTCCACAATATTTGTCATGGCATCAGTAATGGTGACATGAATGACAATGGTGATAATGATGGTAATACAGTGACCAAGATGGTGACGCTGGCAGTGATGATGATGGTGACAAGAATGGTGACGAGGATAGTAAGGAAGTGATCAGAAAGGGGGTGAGGAAGGTGGAGGAGGATGGTGAGGAGGCTGGTGAAGATGATGGTGAAGATGATGGTGAAGAGGAAGGTGAGGATGGTGAAGATGAGGTGAGGAGGATGGTGAGGAGGAAGGTGGGGATTGTTAAGGAGGAAGGTGAGAATGGTGAGGAGGATGGTGAGGAGGAAGGTGAGTATGGTGAGGAGGATGGTGAGGATGGTGAAGATGAGGTGAGGAGGATGGTGAGGAGGAAGGTGGGGATTGTTAAGGAGGAAGGTGAGAATGGTGAGGAGGATGGTGAGGAGGAAGGTGAGTATGGTGAGGAGGATGGTGAGGATGGTGAGAGGGCCAGCAGCTCCCGGGAGGATGAACACATTCCTAACGTCGCCAGAATGACAAAGCCAAACTAGGATGCTGGAAATCGAGGCTGAAGCAATTTACAAGAAAATCCTGTGTTGGTGAAGGAGGTGGCGCACCAGCAGGAGCACCAGTCACCAGCAGGAGCACCAGTCACCAGCAGGAGCACCAGTCACCAGCAAGAGTACCAGTCACCAGCAGGAGCACCAGTCACCAGCAGGAGCACCAGTTACAGGCAGGAGGTCACCAGCAGAGTTACCAGGAGGATCACTAGGAGCACCAGGAGCACCAGTCACCAGCAGCCAGGAGGGTCACCAGTCACCAGTGGAGGAGCAGGGCACTAGTTACCAGTCCACACCAGGCAGGAGCACCAGTCACCAGCAAGTACCAGTCAGGAGCACCAGTTACCAGGAGGATCACTAGTTACCAGCAGGAGCACCAGTTACCAGGAGGATCACTAGTTACCAGGAGGAGCAGTTACCAGGAGGCACCAGTCACACCAGTCACCAGCAGGAGCACCAGTCACCCAGTCAGGAGCACCAGGAGGATCACCAGTGTCACTAGTACCAGCAGGAGCACCAGTCCAGGAGGAGCACAGTCACCAGGAGGATCACTAGTTACCAGGAGGAGCACCAGTCACCAGGAGGATCACTAGTTCCCAGGAGGAGCACCAGTCACCAGCAGGAGCACCAGTCACCAGCAGGAGCACCAGTCACCAGGAGGAGCACCAGTCACCAGCAGGAGCACCAGTCACCAGGAGGAGCACCAGTCACCAGCAGGAGCACCAGTCACCAGCAGGAGCACCAGTCACCAGCAGGAGGTCACCAGCAAGAGTACCAGTCACCAGCAGGAGTACCAGTCACCAGCAGGAGCACCAGTTACCAGGAGGAGCACCAATCACCAAGTTACCAGTCACCAAGAGAAGCACCAAAGAGGAATCACACAAACTTATCACAACATACGGGCAGAACATCTCTCTCTCTCTCTCTCTCTCTCTCTCTCTCTCTCTCGACCTGGGACAACACGCAGCGTCAGATCAACATAATCAGCTGGTCTCTGGGGGAGGGTAATGATAGTGAGAGGGATGGAGGTGAAAATAGATGAGAGGGATGGAGGTGGTGAGAGGAGGTCATAAGGGTGAGAGGAGAGTGTTGTCGGTATGTATCGCAAGAACACACACACACACACACACACACACACACACACACACACACACACACACACACACACACACACCGCTCTCAAATTACCTGCTGTGCTACTGAGAGAGAGAGAGAGAGAGAGAGAGAGAGAGAGCAGTGTCCGCTAATGAGATGGATAGGAAGATGGAGAGGGAGAAATAAAGATGGAGGGATATAAAGAAAGGAGAGGGAGGAAAAAAAGTGTATAGGGAAGGGGTGGACACGGATGATGGAATGAGGAAAATCAGGATGAGAGGAGAGAGAGATGGAATGGAGGGGAGAAATTTGTGAGCATCTGCCATCGATTTGTACCTGGTAGAGTCCCTGGAGGCTGGATCAACAGGCCTCCTCCTTCTCCGCCTCCTCCTCTTCTTCCTCCGTCACCACCAACTTCCTCCTCTTCTTCTTCCTCCTCCTCCGCCGCCTTGTACTCCTACGCCTTCTCTTCTTCTACCTCCACCTACTTTTCTTTCTACTTCCTCCCCTCCTCCTCTTATATCTTCTCACCTCCTCCCCTTCTACATTCTTCTCCTCCTTCCCCTCACCTACCCCCTCCTCTTCCTCCCCCCAACACCCTCCAGCATTCCCTCTCTCTCTCTCTCTCTCTCTCCTGTCATATCTAGGACTCCCCTTAACCTACCATACGCCATATACAAGAGTCACCCGAGTCAGCTGAGTCACCTGGAGCTATATCCATGACTCATTAACCTGTACTAATTAATAACTCACCTTTACAAATTAACTTTGCCTCTTTATCCCATCTGAGAGAGTAACACCGAGTCGGGGGGAAGAGGAGGAGGGGGAAGAGGAGGAGGACGAGGGGGATGAAGGGGAAGAGGAGGAGGAGGAGAGGAGGAGGAGGAGGAGTAACTATCCTAACGAAGGAGTCTTTATTTTGTATCTAAAGTCCATTAGCGTTTCAGTCTTTTCTCCCTTTGTAGGGTGGAGGGAGGGGGTAGAGGGAGGTGTTGAGGGGGAAGGGATGAGGGGTAGGGGGGTAAGAGAGGTCATAGGTATGGAGGTGGAAAGAGGCTGGGAAGGTCATTCGTGTGTGTGTGTGTGTGTGTGTGTGTGTGTGTGTGTGTCCTTCCTCTACACACAGAGGGAAAAAATAATGGAAAACTACCAAAGACTTCCGGCCCTCCCTCTCTCTCCCTAGGTGTCAACTCCCCCTCCTTCCCTCTCTCTCCCTAGGTGTAAACTCCCTCTCCTTCCCTCTCTCTCCCTAGGTGTCAACTCCCCCTCCTTCCCTCTCTCTCCCTAGGTGTAAATTCATCCTTGTTCTTCCCTCTCACTTCATGTACCACAGATCAATTTCCTCCCTATACACTCTGTTGTTCCTGGGAAAGACAACGGGGGTGAGAGAGAGAGAGAAGAGAAAGATAAAGAGAGAGAAAAGAGAGAAACAGCGAAAGAGAGAGAGAAAAAGATACAAAAATATAGAGATACAAAAACATCCAGTAGGAACACAAAACACGTCTCTCCTAGGGAAAAAAAACAAAAAAACACCAGCACTATAGTTTACACAGAGACTGGTGACACGTCCCACGACACCCTAAACTATGTTGTTCTTCCTGGGATAAAAAAAAATTGTAACACGATGACAGGGCTTCGATAACCTCCCATCAGTGTATGTAAGAATTTTCAGGTGTTAAATACGGGTTTTTGAGGGGAGAGCAGAGGGTGAAGGTCAAGGGTGATATGGGAGAGGAGAGGTCAAGGATGAGGGGATGAGGTGAGGTCAAGGATGAGGGGGGAGGGGCAGGAGTGGTCAAGGATGAAGGGATAGGGAAGGTCAAGGATTACATGTGAGGGGAGAGAGGAGGTGAAGGGGGAGGGGAAACAGAAGGCAATACAATATTTATCAGAAAATACATGAAAGATACATAGAATAGGAAGGGTGAGAGGTGAGGGATAGAGGGGTGAGGGGAGTGAGAGGTGAGGGGTAGAGGGGTGATGGGTAGAGAGGTGAGGGGGTAAGGGGTAGAGAGGTGAGGGGTGGGGTGAGAGGTGAGGTGAGGTGAGAGGTGAGGGATAGAGGGGTGAGGGGAGTGAGAGGTGAGGGGTAGAGGGGTGATGGGTAGAGAGGTGAGGGGGTAAGGGGTAGAGAGGTGAGGGGAGTGAGGAGTCTTAAGGGTGAGGGGAGTGAGGGGTCTTATAAGGGTGAGGGGAGTGAGGGGAGTGAGGGGTATCGAAAGAGGAAGGGAAAAAAGTAGGTCAGAAGAAGAGGGGAAAAAGTAGGTCAAACAAGGTCCCCTTCCCTTATAGCGACACCGTACCGAAACAGTCAGTGAGTGAGTGAGTGAGTGAGTGAGTGAGCGAGTGAGTGAGTAAACGAGCGAGTGAGTGAACCAGGTAATATACACACATGGGCTACACGCCATCACAGTCCATTACGACTCAGTAATTTTCATCCAAACAAATTAATCCGTTTACTAATTATTTTTTCTACAAATATATATGTATGTATGTATGTATGTATGTATGCATGTATGTATGTATGTATGTATGTATGTGAACCTAATTGGATGTTTCCACGGACTCACTACGTTTATTTATCAATTTGAGTTGAGTTAAATTAGGTTTATTTCTAAGCATAGTTACCATTAACGTGAAAAGGTCAGGTCAGGTTAGGTCAGGTCAGGTTAGGTCAGGTCAGGTTTAATTTCTATATTAATTTTCCATTATCATCAAAAACACAGGTTATATTAGGTTAGGTTAGGTCAAGTTTATTCTTATATTCAGTTGCCAGTTTCGTCAAAAGGTTATCGTTATTTTTTACAGCAGCAGCTATCGTAATACAGTGATGGTGGGCAGAGGACATTACCAAACTCTCTCTCCCTAATTAAGTGACATAGGCAGTCAAGCTCCTTCATTATAAACAGCTTTCCAAGAGGCGGGAAATTTTGCTGTATATAATTGTGATTGGAGAGACGACGACACACACACACACACACACACACACACACACACACACACACACACACACACACCATGCCAGCCACCTAACACAACACACTTTTAGTTCTCCTTATACTGTATTTGTCATCATAACAATAACACAAGAACAAATAAACCCGTTCTTTATCATCCAACCTTAACTTAGTATAGCTATGTCAACATTATTTCATGTCTCTATTTATATATCTGGTTTCAACACTACATAGAAAACACCCAAAAATAAATGGTTTCTATTTTGTTTTCCAATCGTCTATATTTTCAAGAGAGTAGTATTCTATTCTATATAAATCAGAGAACATATACAAGAATCTATATATTTTTTCCCATATATCACGGGTTTATATTTTAACTGAGCATTTAATCTTTCTCTCTTCACGTTCTCTCTCTCTCTATTTACGTTCTCTCTCTCTCTCTCTTCACGTTCTCTCCAATATTTATCTCCTAATCAAACGCATATCCAAGACCACCAAACGAACAAAGAAATACAATGACATCAACAAATAAAACATATAAAAAAACAAATAAAAATGGGAATAAACGATAAAAAAGGGGGTAATTAAAGAGGGAAATAAATACAACGAGAAGGAAAAATAATATATTAAAAATAGCAGGTGGGTTGTAGTGAAGCACCTGTGTGAGATAATTAGCCTGACATAAAGCTCCCCACCTGCCTGTGTCACCTGGGGAGTGTAATTAAGGTAAATATTCGCCTGCCAGGAAATTGTGTACAGTGTGGAGGGGTTTTGTCACAGATGAGAGAGAGAGAGAGAGAGAGAGAGAGAGAGCGAGAGAGAGCGAGAGCGAGAGAGAGAGAGAGAGAGAGAGAGCGAGAGCGAGAGCGAGAGAGAGAGAGAGAGAGATTACAAATATACAAAAATAAATAAAAGTTCCCACACACACACACACACACACACACACACACACACACACACACACACACACACACCAAGTCATACAGGGTCGGTAACTACAACGCAATTTTTCTGGATTTCAAAGTTATGGAGCAATAAGTCAATGGCCGCCAACTGGGTGTAAACTGGCCCAGGTTTTGGCGTAAATCGGTCAGTTGGTTTATGAGGCAGAACCAGTCACGGGAAGCTGAGTTTGGGCGGGGCTGAGGGAGAGAGGGAGAGAGGGAGGAGAGGGAGAGACTACACAAACCCCGCGGCGATGAGGCCATGGTTGGCGCGGATTGATCTTTGTAGATGATGACGTCAGCTCGTATGCCCAGTATTAGTAGGCCGGGTTAACAGGTCAGGTCAGGCCAGGCCAGGCTGTGGTCGGGCTGTGGCCAGATCAGGTCAGCTCGGCCGCCGGGTCGGGTCAGTCGGGCCGGGTCGGGTCAGGCCAGGTCGGGCCAGGCCGGCCGGGTCAGTCAGTCGGGCCGGGTTGGGCTTTTGCCGGAAAGCTACGTTAAGTTAGGTTAGGCTAGATTAGGTTAGGTGGGGTTATGTTAGGTTAGGTAAGGAGTTGATTATATAACGTGTATATCATCAAAAGGACGGACGGACTGACAGACGGATGGACTGACTGACTGAGACTAACTGACTAACTCCCTATCCCATAAGGAGGAGAACCAAGAGAATAAAAAAAAACATAAAATTACAAATAAAAACAAAGACAAACTAAAAACAAACAAATAAACCTAGATAAAAAATTTCATTATTTGTTTCTTTTTTTTCTCCGATACGAATAAATCTTTCAGAGTCA